TTCCATAGGGCGGGGGCTCCCACCGAGAAGGCCCTCCCCCTGGGGGTCGCCAGCCGGCATTGTCTGGCTGACGGCACCCTGAGGAGACCCTCTCTGTGGGAGCGTATCGGCCGATGAGAGGTATTGCCATGGGTATGTATTTTGTTCCTAGTGTATATTAGAGAGTGAAATATAAACCACCATTTAATACAAACCACTGTCTCCTGGTGACTGGCTCAAAGTTGTCCAGCTGGCTTTCACAGCTTTCAGGTGAAAGCAACGGATATTAGAAATACAAAGCCGCGTGGCTTACCCTCGGGCAGATGCCGTGATCTTGTATGTTCCTGGAGTCAGCAGGCGCCAATAATCCCCGGCTTTATAGGTGGAGACTAGGTGGTCGACGCTGGCCACGCTGATGGTCGCGTTCAAGATGCCGCGTCCATCAGTGGCATCCAAAACAAACCCTCTGACCCCTTGGTGAACCTAAGTGAGGAGAGGTGGATGAATTGTGCATTTGGCAAAAAAAGATTTTATTAGTCTTTGATGTGTCTTCCCAAACCGATGAGGAAACAAGGGCCAGGGGGAAAAGTGCAGAGAAGAGCAACTAAGATGATTAAAAGCCTGGAGACGGAAACATATGGAGAACGGTTGCAGGAACTGGGTCTAGAGCAAAGAAGGACTAGGGGGGACATAATAGCAGTATTCCAGTATTTGAGGGGCTACCCCAGAGAAGAGGGGGTCTCCTACTCTGCAATGCACCTGAAGGCAGAACAAGAAACAGTGGTTGGAAACTAATCAAGGAGAGAAGCAAGCTGGAATTAAGGAGAAAGTTCCTGACAGTGAGAACAATCAAGCAGTGGAACAGCTTGCCACCAGAAGCTGTGGGTGCTCCATCACTAGAGTTCTTTAAGAGATTGGACAGTCACTTGTCTGAAATGATATAGGGTCTCCTGCTTGAGCAGGGGGTTGGACTAGAAGACTGCCAAGATCCCTCCTCACTCAATTATTCTATTATTCCAAGGGAGGGAGGGAGAGAGGGAGGGAGGGAGGGAGGGAGGGAGGAAGGAAAGAAGGAAGGAAAGAAGGAAGGAAGGAAAGAAGGAAGGAAACTAATCAAGGAAAGAAGCAACCTGGAATTAAGGAGAAACTTCCTAACAGTAAGGACAATTAATCAGTGAATAACCTGCCTCCAGAAGTGGCGAATGCTCCAACACTGGAGGTTTTTAAGAAGAGACTGGACAGCTATTTGTCTGAAATAGTATAGGGTTTCCTGCCTGAGCAGGGGGTTGGACTAGAAGACCTCCAAGGTCCCTTCCAACTGTTATTCTGATTGTATTTTCTCCTTGCGCAGTATGCAGCAGCATAGGTGAGCGTTTCTTAATCCTGCAGGGCTGCGGATCATCTTACCTGCTTGATAAACTGCAGCAGGGACCGGTGGTTCTTCTCCCAGTATTTAGGCAATTCTTCTGCCCTGGGATACTTGACACAGCCCAACTCGATCGTCACCTCAAAGCAATTAGTGTTCAGGTAATTCCAATCTTGCATGCCACCTGGAACGAGCACAATCAGAAGGGACGTTAACCGCGTCTGCTTAGTGGGAAAAGGTCTTCGCATCATGAGAATAAAATGAATCCCACAGAGGTGAAATTCCAACCACAATATTTTGAGGACGAGGGGGGACATGATAGCAGTGTTCCAATATCTATGGGGCTGCCCCAAAGAAGAGGGAGTCAAGCTATTTTCCAAAGCGCCTAAAGGCAGGACAAGAAGCAACGGATGGAAACTCATCAAGGAAAGAAGCAACCTGGAACTAAGGAGAAACTTCCTGACAGTGAGAACAATTAACCAGTGGAACTCCTTGCCTCCAGAAGTGGTGAATGCTCCAACACTGGAGGTTTTTAAGAAGAGACTGGACAGCCATTTGTCTGAAATGGTGTAGGGTTTCCTGCCTGAGCAGGGTTGGACTCGATGACCTCCAAGGTCCCTTCCAACTTTATTATTATTATTATTGTTCAAAATGCGGCCGCGCGGGCGGTGTTGGGAGGGACTCGTCGCTCCCACGTCACGCCGCTTTTGCGCGAGCTGCATTGGCTGCCGGTGGCCTTCCGGGTGCGCTTCAAGGTGCTGATTATTATCTTTAAAGCGCTCCATGGCATCGGACCTGGTTACCTTCGAGACCGCCTCCTGCCACAGATTACCCCCCACCGAC